ATACTGTGGCAATGACGCTAAACATCTGACAGCATTGCTTCTTAATGTTGTACAGTTGCGGAAAAAATATTAAACTAGCCAATTTTGTCCATATATACCATTCTGCTCGTATTTCCACTATTAGTTATTATAAAAGATAGTTATTTAAAGGTCTCAATTGCTTTTATTATTACGACCTACGTTCAAGCGAAATGCGGAACTTTATAATAAAATGTAAAAATAAATGATTGGATTTATCGTATAAAATAACAAGAAATTTTAACGTGAGATAACTGAAACAATAAACTGCAACGCGAAGGAAGATCGTAGAGTAAAGATCGTAAATACTGAATACACACACAGGTGTATTTTATTAGAAAATCAATTTTCATCTTTCCAAAGTAGTTGCGGTTGAATGAAAATTGAGTAAAGCTTTCAGTTACATAAAATATAATATATTCGATTGTTTGGAAAGTAACTACGTTTTTTATAGACATTTTGGCACGTAATTTTTGTACGATAAACAAATACTTTAATAAATTATATATTGGCTCTTTTGATCGAACATATTGTCATATTTCTGGTGTTAGCATAATTCCGAGATCATAATTTTTTTTGGTCGTAATTGGCAAAAACTGATCAAAGTGCTTTTCGACCTCCTCCTTTGAGTTAAGGGTTTTACCGCCTAAAAATTTTTTATGACCGAAACGAATAATGATCGATTGATGGGCGCTGGTCTGGAGAATGATGATGAATGATGAATTATGAATGTGCACTATGCTCCAATCAAGCTGTAAAAGCTGTTGGCGATGCACCAAACTTATATGATCTCCTGCTTCCTCATGATTCAGTACTATACCTTGTTTGTGGGTTAATTCTGACCTTTTCTATTGAAGTACATCATTGGTTTATCCAGCTGATGATATAAGGCATTACCATTAACCGTTATGTTGTTTTGAAAAGCTGAAAAACGAAGAGCTCCTTTAAAATCTCACCAAACATACTGCATCACATTTTTTTGGCTAATTTCAGCTTTGCAACTGTTTTGAACAGGTTTTTTTTTGTTTCATGGGCAATTGCGTGTATTGCATTTTTTACATCCCACTTGACATTTATAGTAACAATTTTCCTCAAAACCTGAACATTTTTAGGACTTTTCAGAGGCGAAAAGCGGACGCTAGTGCGAAGACACATATTTTTTTGTGTATGAGAACCATACATTGAGCTTTGTGGAAAATTCCAATCCTTTTAAGTGGTCATAAACTGTTAAATTTGATAAATTTAAACACAAGGGCATCTTATGTATTGTTAGTCGCCGGTTTGCATCAACTAATGCCTTTCTCGTGGTTTTATCAGTTTCAACCGTGTTTCTTAGACTTGGTGCTCTTGGACATCAAAATACCAGGAACAAATTTAGCAAATCAGTTTAGGTACTGTTGTACTATTAATACGTCATTTCCATACACATCGATCAATTTCATTTTGATTTAAACAGTATTTTTACCTTTTATATAGCAAAAGAGTAAAATATGTCGTACATGCTGCTTAATTCTTTTCGTATTCAAAGTGGCATCTTTCAAAAACTACAGCGTGTAATTGATTAGTGTTTTTTACACATAAACCTTGTAGTATAAGCTTTCAAATCATATAATAATTATAGGTCTTAAGTTTGATTTTAGGTTTAAAAAAAGTTAAATTAAATCCGAGGTGGTAAAAAAAAACGAAGTCTTTCCGAATAACCTGATAGTATAAAATACATATTCACGCAACTATATCATGTTTTGAGGGGGATACG